CCTTCACCCTCAGATATACAAAGTATCTTTAAGCCTTACTAGGCCTTTGAAGTGTAACTTTCTTCTCTGAACTTTTTTAGTTGTTAGGAGGGTGGGTGGGAGACAAATGTTATTCTCTCTTTTGGTTCTTTGGCCCAACAGACACATTTTTAAATAAAGTGCTTTATTATCTCTAAATCTGAATGTAACTTTATCCTTTTATATATGTTTTGTATCCATAACTTCTTCATTCAGTTGGTTGGTTTCAGGACAAGTTATTCGAATGTACTTTCAAATCAGTGTTGTCTTTTTCAGATAATGAACATTGGGAGAGCAGGAACTAGGTTCATCAAGTCCATTTTCCCCAATCCTTCCTGCGTTTCGTTGAAGGGACGGAACGGAAATGAAAGAAGGGGGGAAATTCCAATCCAAAAAGTTATGTGCTGATTCATAAAGCTTAAATTATCTATGACATTGCACTGAGATGTTTGCATGTATTTCAGACTGACTTGAAAGATGAGATGTCCCTTTATCTGAGTTGTTACTTTAGTGTGATGTGAGTGAAATTCAGGAAAGCCAAGAAGGGATATAAAGAAAATAGTTTGCCTTATTTGGTTATCTTAGCTAATCGAATGTTCAAGCACTGTGAATTTATAGTTCAATTTTAAAATAAAGGTTTTTTTTTTATTACATTCTAAAGTAAGAATATTTATGAGTATTCTAAATCTGTGTATTCAACTTCATAAACTGTTTACATTGACATTTTCATAGTCTAAGATTGTGTAGCTCTGGATTATTGGGGCATTTCAGTAGTTATTAATCATTAAACAGTGAGAGTTGGCCCTGTATTTGAGGATATACCCATTAAGGAATCTTAACAACATACCATTTTGAACTATGGAAGTATTAAATGAGGAATGCTACATTTTTTCGGTGAACATACCATATTGTACTATAACTCATTTCAGGAGAGAAACTGCAGTTATTGGTTTTTGGTTTTGTTTTGTTGTTTTCCTTCCCGCGTCTTCTTGTATAGCCTTTACTATTTATGCCCTTGGCACAAAGCAAGTTTCCCATGTTGTTCTTTTCATTTGGTTCCTTGAATTATTTATTGTTCTCACTTCCTTACCACCTATTTATTTCTTGGAAAAAAAAATTACTTTTTTCCATTTTTCTGCTTGTTAGGTAATTCATTGTATAAAATAGGTAAGGATGATATCAAATGAGCACTTGCGTATATTTTATCTGGAGTATAGGGGAGCGGGTCATGAGTAGAGACTTGGAGGTGACTGCATAGAGATGATATTTAAAGCTGCAAGTACCTATGACATCACCAGACAGGACTGGCTCCCATGCAGCTATCGCCCCAAGTAATTTCATTATTCATCTTCATTCAGCAGCATGGGCAACTGTGATCCAACCACGTCAACACCCTGCTTTCCAGAGTAAAATTTTTATACTCCAGTGTACCCGTGCCTGCTGTCTCATTCGAAGACACTCAGTGCTCACGTGCATCCTAATAAAATACAAAAAAATATGAAGAATGGTAAGAGAAGTAGCCAAGGATGCCACCCTGGAATCACCAGCTTTTAAATGGAGCCCACCGATGATACTGAGGAGAGGCAAGGGAAAGTGAAGAACAGAGCTCACAGGGACGTGTAGAGAAGACAGTGCAGGAAGGAGTGGGGGAGTCAAGTGTGGGGTCTCAAAGAGCCCGAAGGACAAGCGCTGCTTTACACCTGATCTGTCCTTGACGGGAGGGACTGTTTCCTCAGATATCCCTGGCACCAGGGGTATGGTTGACACTAAGGAGAGAATGCAGAAAGACTGGGGATGGTTTAGAGGAAAGGACAAAACACTCCTGGAAGAACGGCATTATCAGAAAAGGGTGACAGCTTACGCTGACAGACCATGAGTGATGAAAAGACTTTCAACTAGTATGTATAGATCTTGTTTTCTGATCGAGTTCCCAACAACCCACTGAACTAAAAGCAGGATTGGCATTCTAGCTCAATGGACTCTCATAGTACCTAGAGCTATAAAATTACACATGTAACAAAGGAAATATTTTTCTATAGCCTGCCCTTTCAACACCTGGAAGTGACATGCTGTAAGTTAGTATTGCTCTTCTGTTCAATTCTGTTGCTTTTTACCATATTTAATGATGCTTAGGCAGGTTTGTTGATAATCCAGAGAGTTGCTAGTAATGGTCAGCATATGTTTGCTGTTTCCATCAACCCTAAGGAATAGGTTTTAGGTGTTACTGATCTGCCATCATACAGTCATACCTCGTTTTATCGTGCTTTATTGTGCTTCACAGATGTTGCGTTTTTTACAAATTGAAGGCAGGACCCTCCCCCAGCAAAAATATTGTAGCCCACTGTAGTGCTCTACTCGCTTTGTTGCGGTGGTCTGGAACCAAACCTGCAGTATGTCCGAGGTACACCTGTATTACATGCGTGGGTGACATCTTCACTTTTTACTAGTAGTTTATTAAATGCACAGCATATGTATTTCTATATATGTGCTAATCAGTGTCCAAAGTTTGTATTGCATCAAAAGGGGGTTGATGCTATAAATAAGGGTGAGGGACGGGAGGGAGGGAATGAAAGAGTGAAAGTAGGAAAGAAGGTCCTTATTACAGCAAAGAAATTGTCATCTAACTTAGTTGTCTGTCTTGAAGTTTAACTGTGAACACACTCTCCTATGTGCCCATCTATATTTTGAAATTTAAAAAAACTGAGTTGTTATAATCAAGGTGTAATGAGGAGGCTTGGCGTTTCTTTTAAATTGTGAAGACATTTTTATGTTTAAAATAAGAGTTTTAAAAACCCATTAAAAAATACACAAAGCATGTGAGATGGTTCTGAAGAGGAGCCTGTAATAGTGATGGCCACACTGGGCCTTTCCAAGTCAGTTCAATCATTGTATTTTAGTGCTGGCTATCAGGCTCCTCCTGCAGTGGCTATAACTTCACATATCCTTAAAAAGACAGTTCCGTAACCAACTGTTTTGGAAGGGAAATGAATTGTGGCAGGAATGAGCTTTTATCACGGTGGGCCTGGAGTGCTGGCCTTTTTGAGAATGAAAGTTCTGGGCATAATAGGTGATTTATTTTGATTTCTGTGAGCTTGTGAGAACCATTGAAAGCATCTGGTTTTTGTAACAATCTACTTAGAATTATTTTTTATGCTCATGTATTCTTTCTTTGAAAGATATTTCATTGAAATATACAGCTTCCCCTGGTTACAAAATAGCTCATAAGTTCTGGTTTGGGTTGTCAAAAGATTTTTTTTCTTTGAAGATGGACTTGTGCTTACTTCGCATTTTGGTTCAGTTGCCTGGTTTCCTTCCATTTGAGGAGGGGCCCTTCTTGAACCTTAGCTGTGGCCTCATGTGCTGTCTTTGGACGCAACAGTTAGCACCTTCTTCCACTTGAAGGCTTACCTTTCACTAGAAACCTGTAAAGTTCTGAAACAAAAAAGGACATCATAGCAATCCGACAGCAGAAGCATCTAATAGGCTCAAAAGCCAGGTTTAATTAGGTAGCGGTGCAAAACCATTATCCCCTTCACAAAAGGTGGGGAAGAAAAGTGGGAGTGAGAACAATTGGCGTTTATCTGACCGGCTGCCTAGCCGGCCTATGCGAGCCCAGCTGGAGCTCTGCTGGCCCCGCATTCTGCAGGCAGCATGCAGTTTTTGAAACACCCCTAAATGTTCCAGCCTTTAAATAGCAGCAAGTCTTCCAAAATGATGCTGCGTACTGCAAGAGAAATTAAAGCGGCTGCCTTGGAGGCAGGAAGCCGATGAGCAAGATGCTTAATTATCGTGGAAGTAAGTGCTTGTTACCGCTGCGTGGAGTGCAGGGAGCGCGCGGGTCGTCCTCGGGGTGTCAGCTGTGATTTGTAGACAATGCAGCCCTGTCAGCGCAGTGCTGGTTCAGCAGCATCTTTCCAAACATGGATTTGGCAAGAATGTAAAGGCCACCTCTTGTGTCATCTGTGGAACCTTGGAAGAGGGTCCTCTGCCTTTATTTCCAGGATGTATGCCTCCGGGCAGGATTTTGTACTCCGGATTTGTGCCTCTCACCTCCTGACCGACTTGCTCCTGAGGAAGTTGGTTTTCTTCGCCCATCACCTGAAGGATGTTAACAGTTCTTTGCGGCCCCTTGAGGAGTCAGAAGAGGTCTAGCCACAGCAGCACTTTGTTTCTGCTGTTCTCATAAATGAGCGCGGAAGGGTGGGGGTAGGTGGCAAAATTGGTAAGGAAATGCAGGCATTTTGTTGATGAGTGAAATATTTCTAGCTTTAGTAGATGACACTAGAGAGAGCTTGGGAGGAGGTGAATGCCGGACGCGTTCTGAAATATGCCTCATCAGGGTAAGTAATAGAGGAAAATACAGAAGAGTGCTCGTGGATATAATGGCTCTGGGAAAACCCTGTTTATTTTCTCTCTGTGGTATTTGCTCTTGCCAACGATGTTAAGCTTTTTGTAAAGAAACAACAGACAAGTTAGGATTTTGAAATATGGAAGGTGTTAAAAAGTGAACGTTGCAACATAGTCAATAAAATAATTTTTCAATTTTTAGTCTTATTAAAAAACTGATGCTGTGTTGCTCTCAGGGCTGAACTCCGTTATGTCTCTAACTTCTGGTCCGCATGGTTGTTCGTGATATTTTACATTATTAGAGGTCATTGGAGTCTGTACTTGGAGTGAAAACCTTGGTGTCCTGGATTGAGATCATCCCCCTCACCCCCCTGCAGTTATATGAAACAGTTCAATTAAGCTGAAGTATTAATAGCCTTTTAAAGCACATATAATTTAATTGATGGATTTTAGTAAATGCTTTCACTTTCTTCCATTCTTTCAAACCTGCTTTACTAAAATATATGGGATTATGAACTGTGAACCACATTCATTATGGAATCCTTTATTTTCACGTGTCTGATTTTGGCAACTGCATATTTATTTTTTAGATGTATTTATCAAATGCTAATTCCAACTGTCCTTCTCTCTTTCAGAGAAAGCCCGGGATTATGGCAATCACAGAGTCCCCATAATACAAGTCTCATTCAGTTTTTTCTGAAGAAAGCCATCTATTAAAGTTAAGTAAAGGAACTAGTGTGGATTATAACGTTTTGAAGATCTGGATTTTTCAGAAGTTTGAATATAAGGCATTGTTTAACCTTTAAATGAACAAGGTTAAGATCTCATGCGACTGCTGTGTTTGCTGGAGACCGTTCTACAAAAGGGAAGTGCCCATTTAAAACTTCGAAATGGTGGTCCTTTCTTCAGGGATTTAAGTCTGATTGCTTTTACATCATGACCAGCTTGAAACGGTCCCAGACGGAGAGGCCTGTTGCCACCGAAAGGGCCTCGGTCATCGGCACAGATGGCCCTCCCAAAGTCCACACCGACGACTTCTACATGCGGCGTTTCAGGTCCCAAAATGGAAGTTTGGGGTCCTCCATCATGGCGCCTGTGGGGCCCCCCCGCAGTGAAGGTTCGCACCATATAACCTCGACCCCCGGGGTCCCAAAGATGGGGGTTAGGGCAAGGATTGCAGATTGGCCCCCACGGAAGGAAAACGTAAAAGAATCTAGTCGTACAAGTCAGGAAATAGAAACCTCAAGTTGCCTTGAGAGCCTGTCCTCCAAAAGCAGTCCTGTGAGTCAGGGAAGTTCTGTTAGCCTCAATTCCAGTGACTCAGCCATGTTAAAAAGCATACAGAACACGCTGAAAAACAAGACAAGACCGTCGGAGAACATGGACTCCAGATTTCTCATGCCTGAAGCCTATCCCAGCTCCCCTAGGAAGGCTCTTCGCAGAATACGACAGCGGAGCAACAGTGATATCACCATAAGTGAACTTGACGTGGATAGCTTTGATGAATGTATCTCGCCCACCTACAAGACTGGGCCGTCACTACACAGGGAATATGGTAGCACATCTTCAATTGACAAGCAGGGAACGTCCGGAGAGAGCTTCTTTGATTTGTTAAAGGGCTACAAAGACGACAAATCCGATCGAGGTCCAACTCCAACCAAGCTCAGTGACTTTCTCATCGCTGGTGGGGCCAAGGGTTCCGGTTTCTCTTTGGATGTTATAGATGGGCCCATCACACAGAGAGAGAACCTCAGGCTCTTTAAGGAAAGGGAAAAACCACTCAAGCGACGTTCCAAGTCTGAAACCGGAGACTCCTCCATTTTTCGTAAGTTACGCAATGCCAAAGCTGATGAACTTGGGAAATCGTCGGATCTTGAAGATAACCGATCAGAAGACTCCGTCAGGCCCTGGACGTGCCCAAAGTGCTTTGCCCACTATGATGTCCAGAGTATATTATTTGACTTGAACGAGGCGATTATGAACAGGCACAATGTTATCAAGCGGAGAAACACCACCACGGGGGCTTCGGCAGCTGCCGTGGCTTCTTTGGTCTCAGGACCGTTGTCCCACTCGGTCAGTTTTAGCTCCCCGATGGGCAGCACAGAGGACTTGAATTCCAAAGGAAGCCTCAGCGTGGACCAGGGAGATGATAAAAGCAATGAACTTGTAATGAGCTGCCCGTATTTTCGGAATGAGATAGGCGGAGAAGGTGAGAGGAAGATCAGCCTGTCGAAATCAAATTCTGGCTCCTTCAGTGGGTGTGAAAGTGCCTCCTTTGAGTCTGCACTCAGCTCCCATTGCACGAATGCAGGAGTGGCGGTGCTGGAAGCGCCCAAGGAAAACGTACTGTTGCATCTGGATGGTGTGAAAAGGTACATTGTGGAACACGTGGACCTCGGCGCCTACTATTACAGGAAATTCTTCTACCAGAAGGGTGAGTAGAGGTCTTCTATTATTTTAATTTTCTGTGCTGTACTTTCCGAAAAAGAGTATTTGGTTTTTGAGCAGTGACATAAGGTTTTCAGGAATTCCTTCTTTTTCAGGATGATAAAATAGTTACATAGGTATTTGCTGCCGTGTATTTCTTTTTGTGTTTTTTGAGCTACTTCCTCCTTTCAGGTGTTAAAATAAATGTCTTGTATATTAAATATTAATGTGTGTGTTTTTTTTAATGAAAAGTCCTTTTATTTAGTGGATGAAATTATAGTCTTTGTGTAGAAGGCTTGTGTCACCTTTAGGGATAAAGGTTTGATAAAGTTGAAAAACTTTAAATACAGCTTCGTCTTAAGGATTACAAAAGCAATCTTAATGCTGCCTTTCATTTATTTAACAATACAGGACCATTTTTTTCCGCCTCACTGTTCTCATCAATTGTAGTTCTTTCCTATGCATTTCACAGGAATTTTAATGAAAATTAGTTAGATTATTTGACAGAAGTCACAGATACAATGAGTCTCAGAGCCAAGAATCAAATTTAGGTCTTAATTTGAGTAGGGCACTGAAGAGATAAGTACCCTTAACATGTTCATGACTTTCTTTCAAGTCTTTTTCTGTTTTGTGGGAGGAAAATATATACATGTATTATTGGATTGTACTTTGTATACAGTTTTATCTCGTACTTTTAAGAAAGGCCCTGTGATGTATTAAATAAAAAGTAAGTAGTTTAAATGAACTCTCAGGAACCTTGTAATAGTGTTTGCAAGCAGCAATACGAATTGAAGGTTGAGTTTGTTATGTAAGCACCCAGAGTAGGATGCTCACCAAAGGACATGCAATTATGGTCCATTGGGAGCTTAGTGATTTTTTTTTTTAATTAAAGTTTATTAAAGTTACATAGATTTCAGGTGTACAGTTCTGAAATACGTCATCTATATATCGCATTGTGTGCTCACCACCCAGAGTCAGTTCTCCTTCCATCACCATACATTTGACCCCCTTTACCGTCATCTACTGAGTGATCTTAATCTGTAGCCCTGCTGAGAGGCCCTCTCTACACAAAGGACCACAGCAGTGTTTGGATTTTCCACCTACTGTTTTGGGGTTTTTTGAATCTTATTTACATTTATTCTTCCGAATGAAGTTGCATTTCTAGTACTCATTATAGCTTTATGACATTGCTCACTTTAGAATAAAATTTTTTATAAGGTTATTACATGATAGACACCATTCATGAGGACTTATTGACCAAAAGAGTCCTGTCTTGTTACTGAGTATCTATCTGTGTCTCCTGAAGATGTGTGGCAGCAGTCCTGGAATCAATATGATAATGAAAACCCCAACTTCATTTTTAAGCAATCTTTATTCTCTCAAAATAATTTCCTGGAGTTAAGATTTCAGAAATCACTTCCTTTGAATACTGTCCTTTAAGATACAGGGTTTCTCACTGTTGCCATCTTGGCATTTGGGGCCAGATAGTTCTTGTTGGAAGGGGGTGCTGTCCTATGCATTGTAGGATGTTTAGCACATCCCTGGCCTCTACTCCCTAGATGCCAACAAGTGTCCCCTCCACCCACCCCAGCTGAGATGACCTAAAATATTTCCAGGCATTGCCAAATATCCTTTAGGATATAAAATTGCTCCTATCTGAGAACACCTGATTTATTGCACCCTGGGGTAATTTTCCACAGGTATTTCTGAAGCTGCCTATAGGTGGAGGCCATCTTGCTAAAAACCAACACACTGAATCCAATGTGAGAGAGAGAGAGAGAGAGAGAGAGAGAGAGAGAGAGAGAGAGAGAGAGAATTGTTCTAACCTTATTTATGTAGTAGTGGGCATTTTTTCCCTATTAGGCAATATGATAATATTCATAATGAACATTTTTGAGTACTTATTTTGTACCAGGAATTTTGCTAGGCATTGGCTATGACATGCACTTTCTCATTTCAACCTCTCTCTGCCCACTGAGGTAGGTACTGTTATTGATGGCATTTTCCAGATGCAAACACTGGGTGTGAATGACCTTAGTGGTTAAGCTTGTCATGGAGCTAGTAATGTTGGAACCAGGATCCACCTTTGATGTGTCCGACTGGAGTCGTGTCCTAACCACTGTGCTCTGTCTGCTCTCTCCTATATTAGTCTAAAGGGAAGAAGTATATTTTTCTGTTTAAATCTGGTAGAAATTTGTTCGAAGTATTTTTATCTTCCCAAAGTATGGGATAAAAATTTGAACACTTATATTCCAGAATAATCCAGCTTAGCTCATAACACTTCATAAATTTAAAAGCCACTAGTCCAAAGTAGTTTCTCATTTGAAGCATGGAAAATACCCTCTTAGTCAATGTAATTGGAACTGGCTAATTGAAAGTATCAGTTAAATCTTTAAAAAATGTACATATTCAAAATATTTTCATTAAGATATATTTGCCAAACTCTTGTGAGGCCAAGGGCTTTTCTTTGACAGGGAGTGATTCTACTATTTTGAATTCTATGTTGCATTAATAGTATAAACCACAAGAGCAAAAACATAAGACACTAGCCAAGCAACCTGAAATCTTATAGAATCTTAGGTTTCATATATTTTTTCTCATTTTTTATATTTATCCCACCCACATCTAATTCATTAGCTTTCTTAAGTCTTTCCAAAGCCCTCTACTTAGTTTTTAGTAGAAACAAGATTTATCTTTTGTGCTCATATTCCATTAGCTTTCATAGTATTTAATTAAATTTCATAATTACAGTAGCAAGTCAACTGGCCTAAACAGGTTTGGAAAGACACAGCCGACTTTGTCAGCATGAAGTCCAGCTGGTGGGAGCAGAAATCCTGTGTGTGTGTGGCCCCTAGAGATTGCCTGCTAGTGCCACTGGACATTCGTCATCCTGGTTTACAGAGGGAACTCGGAGCAGTCGTTAATCCAGGAAGTTGGTTCAGGGGAAGGCAGTGACAGAGTGTGCCTGCTGTGTTTTCTTGGGCCACGCAACTTAACATTTCCAAATCAGGCAGGTCATTTGTCACAATGTGATAATATACAACAAATCATGACTCCAACTTCATTTGAAGCTGAAACTAAGCCCCTAACGTAGAACTGTATATTAGAACACTTATATGCTCTCTGTACTTCTTATCACTGTATAAAATAGTTAAGTAATTCTGCCTTGTAATTTTTTTGTATACAACTTGGTTCACTGAAAATAGTGCACTAACTCATTTTTCCTAATCAGAACCTTAAAGTGAGTCATCTTGTTGAAGGAGTACATCAGTGTCAGATGTAATTTGTCTTCCAGCGACGGGGTGTAGCGCTCCTGACCTGGTTGTCACTCTCACCTCTGTATCACCATATAGTTTCCGTCCTGTTTAATGCATTCCTGACTTCATTATGACTAAGTCTCTGGGGAACAAAAAAATTCACTTTACTGAAGTATACCCTACAGTCAACCTTATATGTAAAATTTAGTTGTATTTGGCTGGTGAAGCTGCCAAGTCACCTTTTAATAGTGCAAGGTTTTTATAAACGTCATTATTTTGAAGTTAGACTTTAGAGGACGTAGGACTTCGATATGCAAGCCCCATCCGTTGCTGGAAAGATGCTAGATGGATAGAGGAATCCCACTGCTTGCACTTATTAAAATAAGCAACACAGCATCAATGTTCTTTCCAGTCCTGACCACTTCCCTTTGCTGTTTTGCTAGCGTCTGTGGTGTTTCTACGGGGACTCACCCAGGATTAAAAGACAGTAATAAGACAGCTTAACATTTATTGTGTTGCTACTTTGTGTTTATGCGGATCTCGCTTAATGCTCATAGGACCCCACGGTGAAGCTGTCCTTGTGATCAGTCCAAGCGATGCAACCACTGCCTTCCAAGAGAGGCACAGACGAGGCAGTAGGATAGCGTGAAAACGAATCTGGTCATCTCCTTTTGAGTACATATATGTTTTATATTTAGCTCTTATTTACGTGGTTGCCATGATCAAAGAACCAAGGAAATTTGTAAGTGGAAAATACTAAGTTATAGGATAATTATGATGTTACCTATAGCTGGCATGGCTTATTTAGGAAGAGATTATTTTTCCTAGCCATTACTCACCTCATTTGCTGTGGCCCCATGGGACATTTTCAATTTCGCACTGAGTACACAGTTGTCTTTGAGGCATAACCTCCCTGAGTCCATTCAGAGAGATGCATTAATAGAAAGGAGCCCATGGGTTGCCTGGGCAGTGGGTTTGTTGCTCCGTTGATCAAAATGTTGATAGGCTTATCTGATGTAAGGTGGGGTGTCACTCTCAAAGTCAAGTTACCGAAGATTCTGTGATAAGGAAGGGCCGCTCCCTGTTGCCCAGTGGCCAGGAGATACTGCCATTATCTGGTCTGAAGCTCACATGAGAATATTTTCCCACTTCTGAAAAGAGGGAGAACCAATGCTTGTGCACTTGATTATTCTTGTAACTAAGCCACCAGATTTTATTGTTTTTTGTTCACCTTCTTCCTCCTCCATCTCTCCTCGTCCCATCACACACCTGTGTTTGCACGCACACATGCACACACCCATACACAAATCGGGTTCAGCCAGGATCATCAGTTTGAGCATACAAACAAGTTGAATTTCAGTTGTTATTGTAATGTCCAGTTTTCTTTATTTACCCATCATCCTCTTGTAATCAGCCGTCTTTAACATCTGTTCTTTAGAATATATGCACTTAACTTCCTTGGTACTGGAAGTGACAGCTTTAGCACTCTGATGTAGTCTCCATTTTGCTATCAGGAGCTATACTTAAAAGTTCCAGTTTGTCCAATGAGCATCATTAAGTAAGTGTTATATTTTAGTGGAGCATTATATGGTACTTGTAGAACATCAGGGGACACCATACAGCTAAGCTTATTTGTAAAAATCTTGCTATTTTTAGAACTATCCTTCTGTGAGTATAGCAACATTAAGCTTGAGGAAAATACTGTGGAATGACTTATAATTCAGAGCTCTTTAAGGATAATTATTCTATG